CCCACCGTGTGTTCCACCCACCGTGTGTTCAACGCATCGTGTGTTGAACCCACCGTGTGTTGAACCCACCGTGTTTTGAACCCACCGTGTGTTCAACCCACCGTGTGTTCCACCCACTGAATGTTCAATGCACCGTGTGTTCATCCCACCGTGTCTTAAACCTACCGTGTGTTCAACCCACCGTGTGTTCAACCTCCCGTGTGTTCAACCCACCGTGTGTTCAACCTATAGTATGTTCAACCCACCGTGTGTTCAACCCACCGTGTGTTCCACCCACCTTGTGATCAACCCACCATGTGTTCAACCCACCTTGTGTTCAACCCACCATTTGTTCAACCAACCGAGTGTTCAACCTATCGTGTTTTCAACCAACCGTGTGTTCAACCCACCGTGTGTTCCACCCACTGTATGATCAACCCACCGTGTGTTCAACCCACCGTGTGTTCAACCCACCGTGTGTTCCACCCACCGTGTGTTCAACACATCGTGTGTTGAACCCACCGTGTGTTGAACCCACCGTGTGTTCAACCCACCGTGTGTTCAACCCACCGTGTGTTCAACCCATCGTGTGTTCAACCCACCGTGTGTTCCACCCACAGTGTGATCAACCCACCGTTTATTCAACCCACCATGTGTTCAACCCACCGTGTGTTCCACCCATGGAATGTTCAATGCACCGTGTGTTCAACCCACCATGTCTTAAACCTACCCTGTGTTCAACCCACCGTGTGTTCAACCCACCGTGTGTTCCACCCACCGTGTGATCACCCCACCGCGTGTTCAACCAACCGTGTGTTTCACCCACCGTGTATTCAACACACCGTGTGTTCAACCCACTGTGTATTCAACCCACCGTGTCTTCAACCCACCGTGTCTTCAACCCACGGTGTGTTCAACCCACCGTGTATTCAACCTACCGTGTGTTCAAGCCACCGTGTGTTCAACCCACCGTGTGTTCCACCCACTGTATGATCAACCCACCGCATGTTCAACCCACCGTGTGCTCAACCCACCGTGTGTTCCACCCACCGTGTGTTCAACGCATCGTGTGTTGAACCCACCGTGTGTTGAACCCACCGTGTGTTCAACCCACCGTGTGTTCAACCCACCGTCTGTTCAACCCACCGTGTGTTCAACCCACTGTGTGTTCAACCCACCATGTGTTCAACCCACCATGTGTTCAACCCACCGTGTGTTCAACCCACCATGTGATCAACCCACCGTGTTATCAACCCACTGTGTGCTCAACCCACCGTGTGATCAACCCACCGTATGTTCAACCAACCATGTTTTCAACCCACCGTGTGTTCCACCCACCGTGTGTTCACCCCACAGTGTGTTCAACCCACCGTGTGTTCAACCCATCGTGTGTTCAACCCACCGTATGTTCAACCCACCGTGTCTTCAACCCACCGTGTGTTCAACCCACCGAGTGTTCAACCTACCGTGTGTTCAACCCAACTTGTATTCAACCCACCTTGTGTTCAACCCATCGTGTGTTCAACCCACCTTGTGTTCAGCCCATCGTGTGTTCAAAACACTGTGTGTTGAACCCATCGTGTGTTCAACCTACCATGTGTTGTTCAACCAATTGTGTGTTCAACCCATCGTGTGTTCTACCCACCGTGTGTTCAACCTACCGTGGGTTCAACCCACCGTGTGTTCAACCCACCGTGTGTTCAACCGACCGTGTGTTCAACACACCGTGTGTTCAACCCACCGTGTGTTCAACCGACCGTGTGTTCAACCCACCGTGTGTTCAGCCCACCGTGTGTTCAACCTACCTTGTGTTCACACCCACCGTGTGTTCAACCGACCATGTGTTCAACCTACCATGTGTTAAACCTACCGTGTGTTCAACACACTGTGTGTTCAACCCACCGTGTGTTCAACCCACCGTGTGTTAACCCACCGTGTGTTCAACCTACCGTCTGTTCAACCCATCGTTTGTTCAACCCACCGTGTGTTCAACCCACCGTGTGTTCAACCCACCGGGTGTTCAACCCACCGTGTGTTAAACCCACCGTGTGTTCAACCCACAGTGTGTTCAACCCACCGTGTGTTAAACCGACCGTGTGTTCAACCCACCGTGTCTTCAACCCACCGTGTGTTCAACACACCGTGTGTTAACCCACCGTGTGTTCAACCCACCGTGTGTTCAACCCACCTTGTGTTCAACCCACCGTGTGTCCAACCCACCGTTTGTTCAACCCACCGTGTGTTCAACCCACCGTGTGTTCAACCCACCGTGTGTTCAACCCACCGTGTGTTAAACCCTACCGTGTGTTCAACCCACCGTGTGTTCAACCTACCTTGTGTTCACACCCACCGTGTGTTCAACCCACCATGTGATCAACCTACCGTGTGTTAAACCTACCGTGTGTTCAACACACCGTGTGTTCAACCCACTGTGTGTTCAACCCACCGTGTGTTCAACCTACGGTATGTTCAACCCACCGTGTGTTCAACCCACCGTGTGTTAAACCCACCGTGTGTTCAACCTACCGTGTGTTCAACCCACCGGTTGTTAAACCCACCGTGTGTTCAACCCACCGTGTGTTCAACCCACCGTGTGTTAAACCGACCGTGTGTTCAACCGACCGTGTGTTCAACCCACGGTGTGTTCAACCTACCGTGTGTTCAACCCACCGTGTGTTCAACCCACCATGTGTTCAACCCACCGTGTGTTCAACACACCGTGTGTTCAACCCACCGTGTGTTCAACCCACCGTGTGTTCAACCCACCGTGTGTTCAACCCACCGTGTGTTCAACCTACCTTGTGTTCACACCCACCATGTGTTCAACCCACCATGTGTTCAACCTACCGTGTGTTAAACCTACCGTGTGTTCAACACACCGTGTGTTCAACCCACCGTGTGTTCAACCCACCGTGTGTTAAACCGACTGTGTGTTCAACCCACCGTGTGTTCAACCCACGGTGTGTTCAACCTACCGTGTGTTCAACCCACCGTGTGTTCAACCCACCGTGTGTTCAACCCATCGTGTGTTCAACACACCGTGTGTTCAACCCACCGTGTGTTCAACCGACCGTGTGTTCAACCCACCGTGTGTTCAACCTACCGTGTGTTCAACCTACCTTGTGTTCAACCTACCGTGTGTCAAACCTACCGTGTGTTCAGCACACCGTGTGTTCAACCCACCGTGTGTTCAACCCAACGTGTGTTAACCCACCGTGTGTTCAACCGACCGTGTGTTCAACCCACCGTGTGTTCAACCCACCGTGTGTTCAACCTACCTTGTGTTCACACCCACCGTGTGTTCAACCCACCATGTGTTCAACCTACCGTGTGTTAAACCTACCGTGTGTTCAACACACCGTGTGTTCAACCCACTGTGTGTTCAACCCACCGTGTCTTAACCCACAGTGTGTTCAACCTACCGTGTGTTCAACCCACCGTGTGTTCATCCCACCGTGTGTTCAACCCACCGTGTGTTCAACCCACCGTGTGTTCAACCCACCGTGTGTTAACCCACCGTGTGTTCTACCTACCGTGTGTTCAACCCACCGTGTGTTCAACCCACCGTGTGTTCAACCCACCGTGTGTTCAACACACCGTGTGTTCAACCCACCGTGTGTTCAACCGACCGTGTGTTCAACCCACCGTGTGTTCAACCCACCGTGTGTTCAACACACCGTGTGTTCAACCCACCGTGTGTTCAACCGACCGTGTGTTCAACCCACCGTGTGTTCAACCCACCGTGTGTTCAACCTACCTTGTGTTCACACCCACCGTGTGTTCAACCCACCATGTATTCAACCTACCGTGTGTTAAACCTACCGTGTGTTCAACACACCGTGTGTTCAACCCACCGTGTGTTCAACCCACCGTGTGTAAACCCAGAGTGTGTTCAACCTACCGTGTGTTCAACCCACCGTGTGTTCATCCCACCGTGTGTTCAACCCACCGTGTGTTCATCCCACCGTGTGTTCAACCCACCGTGTGTTAACCCACCGTGTGTTCAACTTACCTTGTGTTCAACCCACCGTGTGTTCAACCCACCGTGTGTTCAACCCACCGTGTGTTCAACACACCGTGTGTTCAACCCACCGTGTGTTCAACCGACCGTGTGTTCAACCCACCGTGTGTTCAACCCACCGTGTGTTCAACCTACCTTGTGTTCACACCAACCGTGTGTTCAACCCACCATGTGATCAACCTACCGTGTGTTAAACCTACCGTGTGTTCAACACACCGTGTGTTCAACCCACCGTGTGTTCAACCCACCGTGTGTTAACCCACCGTGTGTTCAACCTACGGTGTGTTCAACCCACCGTGTGTTCAACCCACCGTGTGTTCAACCCACCGTGTGTTCTCCCGCCCCATCACCCCGCCCCATTCTCCCGCTTTCCATCACCTCGCCCCATTCTCCCGCTTTCCATCACCCCGCCCCATTCTTCTGCTTTCCATCACCCCGCCCCATTCTCCCGCTTTCCATCATCCCGCCCCATTCACCCGCTTTCCATCACCCGCCCCATTCTCCCGCTTTCCATCACCCCGCCCCATTCTCCCGCTTTCCATCACCCCGCCCAATTCTCCCGCATTCCATCACCCCGCCCCATTCTCCCGCTTTCCATCACCCCGCCCCATTCTCCCGCTTTCCATAACCCCGCCCCATTCTCCCTCCTTCCATCACCCGCCCCATTTTCCCTCCTTCCATCACCCCGCCCCATTCTCCCTCCTTCCATCACCCCGCCCTAATCTCCCGCTTTCCATCAGCCCACCCCATTCTCCCGCTTTCCATCACCCCGCCCCATTCTCCCGCTTTCCATCACCCCGCCCCATTCTCCCGCTTTCCATCACCCCGCCCCATTCTCCCGCTTTCCATCACCCAGCCCCATTCTCCCGCTTTCCATCACCCCACCCTGTTCTCCCGCTTTCCATCACCCCGCCCCATTCTCCCGCTTTCCATCTCCCCGCCCCATTCTCCCTCCTTCCATCACCCCGCCTCATTCTACCTTCTTCAATCACCCCGCCCCATGCTCCCGCTTTCCATCACCCTGCCCCATTCTCCCGCTTTCCATCACCCCGCCCCATTCTCCCTCCTTCCATCACCCCGCCCCATTCTCCCGCTTTCCATCACACCGCCCCATTCTCCCGCTTTCCATCACCGTGCCCCATTCTCCCGCTTTCCATCACCCTGCCCCATTCTCCAGCTTTCCATCATCCTGCCCCATTCTCCCTCCTTCCATCAGCCCACCCCATTCTCCCACTTTCCATCACCCCGCCCTATTCTCCCGCTTTCCATCACCCTGCCCCATTCTCCCTCCTTTCATCAACCCGCTTCATTCTACCTCCTTCCATCACCCCGCCCCATTCTCCCGCTTTCCATCACCTCGCCCCATCTCCCGCTTTCCATCACCCCGCCCTATTCTTCTGCTTTCCATCACCCCGCCCCATTCTCCTGCTTTCCTTCACCCCGCCCCATTGACCCGCTTTACATCACCCGCCCCATTCACCCGCTTTCCATCACCCGCCCCATTCTCCTGCTTTCCATCACCCCGCCCCATTCTCCCACTTTCCATCACCCCGCCCCATTCTCCCGCTTTCCATTACCCCGCCCCATTCTCCCTCCTTCCATCACCCCGCCCCATTCTCCCGCTTTCCATCACCCCGCCCCATTCTCCCTCCTTCCATCACCCCGCCCCATTCTCCCGCTTTCCATAACCCCGCCCCATTCTCCCTCCTTCCATCACCCGCCCCATTTTCCCTCCTTCCATCACCCCGCCCCATTCTCCCTCCTTCCATCACCCCGCCCTATTCTCCCGCTTTCCATCAGCCCACCCCATTCTCCCGCTTTCCATCACCCCGCCCCATTCTCCCGCTTTCCATCACCCCGCCCCATTCTCCCGCTTTCCATCACCCCGCCCCATTCTCCCGCTTTCCATCACCCAGCCCCATTCTCCCGCTTTCCATCACCCCACCCTGTTCTCCCGCTTTCCATCACCCCGCCCCATTCTCCCGCTTTCCATCTCCCCGCCCCATTCTCCCTCCTTCCATCACCCCGCCTCATTCTACCTTCTTCAATCACCCCGCCCCATGCTCCCGCTTTCCATCACCCTGCCCCGTTCTCCCGCTTTCCATCACCCCGCCCCATTCTCCCTCCTTCCATCACCCCGCCCCATTCTCCCGCTTTCCATCACACCGCCCCATTCTCCCGCTTTCCATCACCGTGCCCCATTCTCCCGCTTTCCATCACCCCGCCCCATTCTCCAGCTTTCCATCATCCTGCCCCATTCTCCCTCCTTCCATCAGCCCACCCCATTCTCCCACTTTCCATCACCCCGCCCTATTCTCCCGCTTTCCATCACCCTGCCCCATTCTCCCTCCTTTCATCAACCCGCTTCATTCTACCTCCTTCCATCACCCCGCCCCATTCTCCCGCTATCCATCACCTCGCCCCATCTCCCGCTTTCCATCACCCCGCCCTATTCTTCTGCTTTCCATCACCCCGCCCCATTCTCCTGCTTTCCTTCACCCCGCCCCATTGACCCGCTTTACATCACCCGCCCCATTCACCCGCTTTCCATCACCCGCCCCATTCTCCTGCTTTCCATCACCCCGCCCCATTCTCCCACTTTCCATCACCCCGCCCCATTCTCCCGCTTTCCATTACCCCGCCCCATTCTCCCTCCTTCCATCACCCCGCCCCATTCTCCCGCTTTCCATCACCCCGCCCCATTCTCCCTCCTTCCATCACCCCGCCCCATTCTCCCGCTTTCCATCACCCCGCCCCATTCTCCTTCCTTCCATCACCCCGCCCCATTCTCCCGCTTTTCATCACCCCGCCCCATTCTCCCACTTTCCATCACACCGCCCCCTTCTCCCTCCTTCCATCACCCCGCCCCATTCTCCCTCCTTCCATCACCCCGCCCCATTCTCCCGCTTTCCATCAGCCCGCCCCTTTCTCCCGCTTTCCATCTCCCTGCCCCATTCTCCCGCTTTCTATCAACCCGCCCCATTCTCCCGCTTTCCATCACCCCGCCCCATTCTCCCGCTTCCCATCATCCCGCCCCATTCCCCCGCTTTCCATCACCCCTCCCCATTCTCCCTCCTTCTATCACCCCGCCCCATTCTCCCGCTTTCCATTACCTGCCCCATTCTCCCGCTTTCCATCACCTCGCCCCATCTCCCGCTTTCCATCACCCCGACCTATTCTTCTGCTTTCCATCACCCCGCCCCATTCTCCTGCTTTCCATCACCCCGCCCCATTCACCCGCCCCATTCTCCTGCTTTCCATCACCCCGCCCCATTCTCCCTCCTTCCATCACCCCGCCCCATTCTCCCGCTTTTCATCACCCCGCCCCATTCTCCCGCTTTCCAACACCCCGCCCCATTCTCCTGCTTTCCATCACCCCGCTCCATTCTCCCGCTTTCCATCACTCGGCCCCATTCTCCCGCTTTCCATCACCCCGCCCCATTCTCCTGCTTTTCATCACCCCGCCCCATTCTCCCTCCTTCCATCACTCCGCCTCATTCTCCCTCCATCCATCACCCCGCCCCATTCTCCCGCTTTCCATAACCCCGCCCCATTCTCCCTCTTTCCATCACCCCACCCCATTCTCCCGCTTTCCATCACTCCGCCCCATTCTCCCTCCTTCCATCACCCCGCCCCATTTTCCCTCCTTCCATCACCCCGCCCCATTCTCCCGATTTCCATCACCCCACCCCATTCTCCCGCTTTCCATCAGCCCGCCCCATTCTCCCGCTTTCCATCACCCCGCCCCTTTCTCCCACATTCCATCAGCCCGCCCCATTCTCCCGCTTTCCATCACCCCGCCCCATTCTCCCGCTTTCCATCACCCCGCCCCATTCTCCCACTTTCCATCACTCCGCCCCATTCTCCCGCTTTCCATCACCCCGACCCATTCTCCCACTTTCCATCACCCCGCTCCATTCTCCCTCCTTCCATCACCCCGCCTCATTCTCCCTCCTTCCATCACCCCGCCCCATTCTCCCGCTTTCCATCACCCCACCCCATTGTCCCGCTTTCCATCACTTAGCCCCATTCTCCCGCTTTCCATCATCCCGCCCCATTTTTTCGCTTTCCATCACCCCGCCCCATTCTCCCGCTTTCCATCACCCTGCCCCAATCTCCCGCTTTCCATCACCCCGCCCCATTCTCCCTCCTTCCATCACCCCGCCCCATTCCCCCGCTTTCCATCACCCTGCCCCAATCTCCCGCTTTCCATCACCCCACCCCATTCTCCCTCCTTCCATCACCCCGCCCCATTCTCCCGCTTTCCATCACCCCGCCCCATTCTCCCACTTTCCATCACCCAGCCCCATTCTCCCGCTTTCCATCACCCCGCCCCATTCTCCCGCTTTCCATCCACCCGCCCCATTCTCCCGCTTTCCATCATCCCGCCCCATTCTCCCTCCTTCCATCACCCCGCCCCATTCTCCCGCTTTCCATCACCCCACCCCATTCTCCCTCCTTCCATCACCCCGCCCCATTCTCCCTCCTTCCATCACCCCGCCCCATACTCCCGCTTTCCATCACCCCGCCAATGTTCTCCCGCTTACCATAACCCCACCCCCTTCTCCCGCTTTCCATCACTCCGCCACATTCTCCCGCTTTCTATCACCCCGCCCCATTCTCCCTCCTTCCATCACCCCGCCCCATTCTCCCGCTTTACATCACCCCGCCCCATTCTCCCGAAATCCATCACCCCGCCCCATTCTCCCGCTTTCCATCACCCCGCCCCATTCTCCCGCTTTCCATCACCCCGCCCCATTCTCCCGCTTTCCATCATCCCGCCCCATTCTCCCTCCTTCCATCACCCCGCCCCATTCTCCCGCTTTCCATCACTCTGCCCCATTCTCCCTCCATCCATCACCCCGCCCCATTCTCCCTCCTTCCATCACCCCGCCCCATTCTCCTGCTTTCCATCACCCCGCCCCATTCTCCCACTTCCAATAACCCCACCCCATTCTCCCGCTTTCCATCACCCCGCCACATTCTCCCACTTTCCATCACCCCGCCCCCTTCTCTCTCCTTCCATCACCCCGCCCCATTCTCCCTCCTTCCATCACCCCGCCCCATTCTCCCGCTTTCCATCAGCCCGCCCCATTCTCCCGCTTTCCATCACCCCTCCCCTTTCTCCCGCTTTCCATCTCCCCGCCCCATTCTCTCGCTTTCCATCACCCCGCACCATTCTCCCGCATTCCATCACCCCGCCCCATTCTTCCGCTTCCCATCAGCCCGCCCCATTCCCCCGCTTTCCATCACCCCTCCCCATTCTTCCTCCTTCCATCACCCCGCCACATTCTCTCGCTTTCCATCACCCCGCCCCATTCTCCCGCTTTCCATCACCCCGCCCCATTCTCCCGCTTTCCATCACCCCGCCCCATTCCTCCTCCTTCCATCACCCCGCCCCATTCTCCCGCTTTCCATCACCCCGCCCCATTCTCCCTCCTTCCATCACCCCGCCCCATTCTCCCTCAGTCCATCACCCCACTCCATTCTCCCGCTTTCCATCACCCCGCCCTATTCTCCCGCTTCCCATAACCCCACCCCATTCTCCCGCTTTCCATCACCCCACCACATTTTCCCACTTTCCATCACCCCACCCCCTTCATTTTCCTTCCACCACCCCGCCCCATTCTCCCTCCTTCCATCACCCCGCCCCATTCTCCCGCTTTCCATCAGCCCGCCCCATTCTCCCTCTATCCATCACCCCGCCCAATTCTCCCACTTTCCATCACCCCATCCCATTCTCCCGTTTTCCATCACCCCGCCCCATTCTCTCGCTTTCCATCACCCCGCCTTATTCTCCCGCGTTCCATCACCCCGCCCCATTCTCCCGATTTCCATCACCCCGCCCCATTCTCCGCTTTCCATCACCCCGCCCCACTCTCCCGATTTCCATCACCCCGCCCCATTCTCCCGCTTTCCAACACCCTGCCCCATTCTCCCGCTTTCCATCACCCCACCCCATTCTCACTCTTTCCATCACCCCTCCCCATTCTCCCTCTTTCGATAACCCCGCCCCATTCCCCTGCTTTCCATCACCCCGCCCCATTCTCCCTCTTTCCATCACCCCGCCCCATTCTCCCGCTTTCCATCACCCCGTTCCATTTTCCCGATTTCCATCACCCCGCCCCATTCTCCCGCTTTCCATCACCCCGCCCCATTCTCCCGCTTTCCATCACCCCGCCCCATTCTCCCGCTTTCCATCAGCCCGCCCCATTCTCCCGCTTTCCATCACCCCGCCCCTTTCTCCCACATTCCATCAGCCCGCCCCATTCTCCCGCTTTCCATCACCCCGCCCCATTCTCCCGCTTTCCATCACCCCGCCCCATTCTCCCACTTTCCATCACTCCGCCCCATTCTCCCGCTTTCCATCACCCCGACCCATTCTCCCACTTTCCATCACCCCGCTCCATTCTCCCTCCTTCCATCACCCCGCCTCATTCTCCCTCCTTCCATCACCCCGCCCCATTCTCCCGCTTTCCATCACCCCACCCCATTGTCCCGCTTTCCATCACTTAGCCCCATTCTCCCGCTTTCCATCATCCCGCCCCATTTTTTCGCTTTCCATCACCCCGCCCCATTCTCCCGCTTTCCATCACCCTGCCCCAATCTCCCGCTTTCCATCACCCCGCCCCATTCTCCCTCCTTCCATCACCCCGCCCCATTCCCCCGCTTTCCATCACCCTGCCCCAATCTCCCGCTTTCCATCACCCCACCCCATTCTCCCTCCTTCCATCACCCCGCCCCATTCTCCCGCTTTCCATCACCCCGCCCCATTCTCCCACTTTCCATCACCCAGCCCCATTCTCCCGCTTTCCATCACCCCGCCCCATTCTCCCGCTTTCCATCCACCCGCCCCATTCTCCCGCTTTCCATCATCCCGCCCCATTCTCCCTCCTTCCATCACCCCGCCCCATTCTCCCGCTTTCCATCACCCCACCCCACTCTCCCTCCTTCCATCACCCCGCCCCATTCTCCCTCCTTCCATCACCCCGCCCCATACTCCCGCTTTCCATCACCCCGCCAATGTTCTCCCGCTTACCATAACCCCACCCCCTTCTCCCGCTTTCCATCACTCCGCCACATTCTCCCGCTTTCTATCACCCCGCCCCATTCTCCCTCCTTCCATCACCCCGCCCCATTCTCCCGCTTTACATCACCCCGCCCCATTCTCCCGAAATCCATCACCCCGCCCCATTCTCCCGCTTTCCATCACCCCGCCCCATTCTCCCGCTTTCCATCACCCCGCCCCATTCTCCCGCTTTCCATCATCCCGCCCCATTCTCCCTCCTTCCATCACCCCGCCCCATTCTCCCGCTTTCCATCACTCCGCCCCATTCTCCCTCCATCCATCACCCCGCCCCATTCTCCCTCCTTCCATCACCCCGCCCCATTCTCCTGCTTTCCATCACCCCGCCCCATTCTCCCACTTCCCATAACCCCATCCCATTCTCCCGCTTTCCATCACCCCGCCACATTCTCCCACTTTCCATCACCCCGCCCCCTTCTCTCTCCTTCCATCACCCCGCCCCATTCTCCCTCCTTCCATCACCCCGCCCCATTCTCCCGCTTTCCATCAGCCCGCCCCATTCTCCCGCTTTCCATCACCCCTCCCCTTTCTCCCGCTTTCCATCTCCCCGCCCCATTCTCACGCTTTCCATCACCCCGCACCATTCTCCCGCTTTCCATCACCCCGCCCCATTCTTCCGCTTCCCATCAGCCCGCCCCATTCCCCCGCTTTCCATCACCCCTCCCCATTCTTCCTCCTTCCATCACCCCGCCACATTCTCTCGCTTTCCATCACCCCGCCCCATTCTCCCGCTTTCCATCACCCCGCCCCATTCTCCCGCTTTCCATCACCCCGCCCCATTCCTCCTCCTTCCATCACCCCGCCCCATTCTCCCGCTTTCCATCACCCCGCCCCATTCTCCATCCTTCCATCACCCCGCCCCATTCTCCCTCAGTCCATCACCCCACTCCATTCTCCCGCTTTCCATCACCCCGCCCTATTCTCCCGCTTCCCATAACTCCACCCCATTCTCCCGCTTTCCATCACCCCACCACATTTTCCCACTTTCCATCACCCCACCCCCTTCTTTTTCCTTCCACCACCCCGCCCCATTCTCCCTCCTTCCATCACCCCGCCCCATTCTCCCGCTTTCCATCAGCCCGCCCCATTCTCCCTCTATCCATCACCCCGCCCAATTCTCCCACTTTCCATCACCCCATCCCATTCTCCCGTTTTCCATCACCCCGCCCCATTCTCTCGCTTTCCATCACCCCGCCTTATTCTCCCGCGTTCCATCACCCCGCCCCATTCTCCCGATTTCCATCACCCCGCCCCATTCTCCACTTTCCATCACCCCGCCCCACTCTCCCGATTTCCATCACCCCGCCCCATTCTCCCGCTTTCCAACACCCTGCCCCATTCTCCCGCTTTCCATCACCCCACCCCATTCTCACTCTTTCCATCACCCCTCCCCATTCTCCCTCTTTCGATAACCCCGCCCCATTCCCCTGCTTTCCATCACCCCGCCCCATTCTCCCTCTTTCCATCACCCCGCCCCATTCTCCCGCTTTCCATCACCCCGTTCCATTTTCCCGATTTCCATCACCCCGCCCCATTCTCCCGCTTTCCATCACCCCGCCCCATTCTCCCGCTTTCCATCACCCCGCCCCATTCTCCCGCTTTCCATCACCCCGCCCCATTCTCCCTCTTTCCATCACCCCGCCCCATTCTCCCGCATTCCTTCACCCCGCCCCATTATCACTCGTTCCATCACCCCGCTCCATTCTCCCGCTTTCCATCACCCCGCCCAATTCTCCCTCTTTCCATCACCCCTCCCCATTCTCCCTCTTTCCATCACCCTGCCCCATTCTCCCGCTTTCCATCACCACGCCCCATTCTCCCTCTTTCCACCACCCCGCCCCATTCTCCCTCTTTCCATCACCCCGCCCCATTCTCCCACTTTCCATCACCCCGCCCCATTCTCCCTCTTTCCATCACCCCGCCCCATTCTCCCGCATTCCATCACCCTGCCCCATTCTCCCTCTTTCCATCACCCCGCTCCATTCTCCCGCTTTCCATCAGCCCGCCCAATTCTCCCTCTTTCCATCACCCCTCCTTATTCTCCCTCTTTCCATCACCCCGCCCCATTCTCCCGCTTTCCACCACCCCGCTCCATTCTCCCGCTTTCCATCACCCCGCCCAATTCTCCCGCTTTCCATCACCACGCCCCATTTTCCCTCTTTCCATCACCCTGCCCCATTCTCCCGCTTTCCATCACCCCGCCCTATTCTCCCGCTTTCAATCACCCCGCTCCATTCTCCCACTTCCCATCATCCCGCCCAATTCTCCCTCTTTCTATCACCCCTCTCCATTCTCCCTCTTTCCATCACCCCGCCCCATTCTCCCGCTTTCCATCACCCCGCCCCATTCTCCCGCTTTCCATCACCCCGCCCCATTCTCCCGCTTTCCATCCACCCGCCCCATTCTCCCGCTTTCCATCATCCCGCCCCATTCTCCCTCCTTCCATCACCCCGCCCCATTCTCCCGCTTTCCATCACCCCACCCCATTCTCCCTCCTTCCATCACCCCGCCCCATTCTCCCTCCTTCCATCACCCCGCCCCATACTCCCGCTTTCCATCACCCCGCCAATGTTCTCCCGCTTACCATAACCCCACCCCCTTCTCCCGCTTTCCATCACTCCGCTACATTCTCCCGCTTTCTATCACCCCGCCCCATTCTCCCTCCTTCCATCACCCCGCCCCATTCTCCCGCTTTACATCACCCCGCCCCATTCTCCCGAAATCCATCACCCCGCCCCATTCTCCCGCTTTCCATCACCCCGCCCCATTCTCCCACTTTCCATCACCCCGCCCCATTCTCCCGCTTTCCATCATCCCGCCCCATTCTCCCTCCTTCCATCACCCCGCCCCATTCTCCCGCTTTCCATCACTCCGCCCCATTCTCCCTCCATCCATCACCCCGCCCCATTCTCCCTCCTTCCATCACCCCGCCCCATTCTCCTGCTTTCCATCACCCCGCCCCATTCTCCCACTTCCCATAACCCCATCCCATTCTCCCGCTTTCCATCACCCCGCCACATTCTCCCACTTTCCATCACCCCGCCCCCTTCTCTCTCCTTCCATCACCCCGCCCCATTCTCCCTCCTTCCATCACCCCGCCCCATTCTCCCGCTTTCCATCAGCCCGCCCCATTCTCCCGCTTTCCATCACCCCTCCCCTTTCTCCCGCTTTCCATCTCCCCGCCCCATTCTCTCGCTTTCCATCACCCCGCACCATTCTCCCGCTTTCCATCACCCCGCCCCATTCTTCCGCTTCCCATCAGCCCGCCCCATTCCCCCGCTTTCCATCACCCCTCCCCATTCTTCCTCCTTCCATCACCCCGCCACATTCTCTCGCTTTCCATCACCCCGCCCCATTCTCCCGCTTTCCATCACCCCGCCCCATTCTCCCGCTTTCCATCACCCCGCCCCATTCCTCCTCCTTCCATCACCCCGCCCCATTCTCCCGCTTTCCATCACCCCGCCCCATTCTCCCTCCTTCCATCACCCCGCCCCATTCTCCCTCAGTCCATCACCCCACTCCATTCTCCCGCTTTCCATCACCCCGCCCTATTCTCCCGCTTCCCATAACCCCACCCCATTCTCCCGCTTTCCATCACCCCACCACATTTTCCCACTTTCCATCACCCCACCCCCTTCTTTTTCCTTCCACCACCCCGCCCCATTCTCCCTCCTTCCATCACCCCGCCCCATTCTCCCGCTTTCCATCAGCCCGCCCCATTCTCCCTCTATCCATCACCCCGCCCAATTCTCCCACTTTCCATCACCCCATCCCATTCTCCCGTTTTCCATCACCCCGCCCCATTCTCTCGCTTTCCATCACCCCGCCTTATTCTCCCGCGTTCCATCACCCCGCCCCATTCTCCCGATTTCCATCACCCCGCCCCATTCTCCGCTTTCCATCACCCCGCCCCACTCTCCCGATTTCCATCACCCCGCCCCATTCTCCCGCTTTCCAACACCCTGCCCCATTCTCCCGCTTTCCATCACCCCACCCCATTCTCACTCTTTCCATCACCCCTCCCCATTCTCCCTCTTTCGATAACCCCGCCCCATTCCCCTGCTTTCCATCACCCCGCCCCATTCTCCCTCTTTCCATCACCCCGCCCCATTCTCCCGCTTTCCATCACCCCGTTCCATTTTCCCGATTTCCATCACCCCGCCCCATTCTCCCGCTTTCCATCACCCCGCCCCATTCTCCCGCTTTCCATCACCCCGCCCCATTCTCCCGCTTTCCATCACCCCGCCCCATTCTCCCTCTTTCCATCACCCCGCCCCATTCTCCCGCATTCCTTCACCCCGCCCCATTATCACTCGTTCCATCACCCCGCTCCATTCTCCCGCTTTCCATCACCCCGCCCAATTCTCCCTCTTTCCATCACCCCTCCCCATTCTCCCTCTTTCCATCACCCTGCCCCATTCTCCCGCTTTCCATCACCACGCCCCATTCTCCCTCTTTCCACCACCCCGCCCCATTCTCCCTCTTTCCATCACCCCGCCCCATTCTCCCACTTTCCATCACCCCGCCCCATTCTCCCTCTTTCCATCACCCCGCCCCATTCTCCCGCATTCCATCACCCTGCCCCATTCTCCCTCTTTCCATCACCCCGCTCCATTCTCCCGCTTTCCATCAGCCCGCCCAATTCTCCCTCTTTCCATCACCCCTCCTTATTCTCCCTCTTTCCATCACCCCGCCCCATTCTCCCGCTTTCCACCACCCCGCTCCATTCTCCCGCTATCCATCACCCCGCCCAATTCTCCCGCTTTCCATCACCACGCCCCATTTTCCCTCTTTCCATCACCCTGCCCCATTCTCCCGCTTTCCATCACCCCGCCCTATTCTCCCGCTTTCAATCACCCCGCTCCATTCTCCCACTTCCCATCATCCCGCCCAATTCTCCCTCTTTCTATCACCCCTCTCCATTCTCCCTCTTTCCATCACCCCGCCCCATTCTCCCGCTTTCCATCACCCCGCCCCATTCTCCCTCTTTCCATCACCCCGCCCCATTCTCCCTCTTTCCATCACCCCGCCCTATTTTCCGGCTTTCCATCACCCTGCCCCATTCTCCCTCTTTCTATCACCCTGCCCCATTCTCCCGCTTTCCATCACCTTGCCCCATTCTCCCGCTTTCCATCACCCCGCTCCATTCTCCCGCTTTCCATCACCCCGCCCAATTCTCCCTCTTTCCATCACCCCTCCCCATTCTCCCTCTTTCCATCAACCCGCCCCATTCTCCCTCTTTCCATCACCCCGCCCCATTCTCCCGCTTTCCATCCACCGCCCCATTCTCCCGCTTTCCATCATCCCGCCCCATTCTCCCTCTATCTATCACCCCGCCCCATTCTCACGCCTTCCATCACCCCGACCCATTCTCCCGCTTTCCATCACCCCGCCCCATTCTCCCTCTTTCCATCACCCCGCCCCATTCTCCCGCTTTCCATCACCCCGCCCCATTCTCCCTCTTTCCATCACCCCCCCCCATTCACCCGCTTTCCATCACCCCGCCCCATTCTCCCGCTTTCCATCACCTCGCCCCATTCTCCCGCTTTCCATCACCCCGTCCCATTCTCCCTCTTTCCATCACCTCGCCCCATTCGCCCGCTTTCCATCACCCCGCCCCATCCTTCCACTTTCCATCTCCCCGCCCCATTCTCCCTCTTTTCATCACCCCGCCCCATTCTCCCGATTTCCGACACCCCGCCCCATTCTGACTCTTTCCATCACCCCGCCCCATTCTCCCGATTTTCGTCACCCCGCCCCATTCTCCCTCTTTCCATCACCTCGCCCCATTCTTCCTCTTTCCATCTCCCTGCCCCATTCTCCCTCTTTCCATCACCCCGCCCCGTTCTCCCTCTTTCCATCACCCCGCCCCATTCTCCCTCTTTCCATCACCCCGCCCCATTCTCCCGATTTCCGTCACCTTGCCCCATTCTCCCTCTTTCCATCACCCCGCCCCATTCTCCCGATTTCCGTCATCCTGCCCCATTCTCCCTCTTTCTATCACCCCGCCCCATTCTCCCTCTTTCCATCACCCCGACCCATTCTCCCGCTTTCCATCACCCCGCCCCATTCTCCCTCTTTCCATCACCCCGCCCCATTCTCCCGCTTTCCATCACCCCGCCCCATTCTCCCTCCTTCCATCAACCCGCCCCGTTCTCCCGCTTTCCATCACCCCGCCCCATTCTCCCGCTTCCCATCACCCTGCCCCATTCTCCAGCATTCCATCACCCCGCCCCATTCTCCCGCTTTCCATCACCCCGCCCCATTCTCCCTCTTTCCATCACCCCGCCCCATTCTCCTGCTTTCCATCACCCCGCCCCATTCTCCCGCTTTCCATCACCCCGCCCCATTTTCCCGATTTCCATCACCCCGCCCCATTCTCCCGCTTTCCATAACCCCGCCCCATTCTCCCGCTTTCCATCACCCCGCCCCATTCTCCCTCTTTCCATCACCCCGCCCCATTCTCCCGCTTTCCATCACCCCGCCCCATTCTCCCGTTTTCTATCACCCGGCCCCATTCTCCTGCTTTCGATCACCCCGCCCCGTTCTCCCGCTTTCCATCACCCCCCCCCATTCTCCCTCTTCCCAATACCCGCCCAATTCTCCCGCTTTCCATCATCCCGCCCCAATCTCCCGCTTTCCACCACTCCGCCCCATTCTCCCGATTTCCATCACCCCGCCCCTCTCCCGCTTTCCATTACTCCGCCCCATTCTCCCGCTTTCCATCACCCAGCTCCATTCTCCCGCTTTCCATCACCCCGCCCAATAATCCCTCTTTCCATCACCCCGCCCCATTCTCCCTCTTTCCATCACCCCGCCCCATTCTCCCGCTTTCCATCACCCGCCCCATTTTCCCGATTTCCATCACCCCGCCCCATTCTCCCGCTTTCCATAACCCCGCCCCATTCTCCCGCTTTCCATCACCCCGCCCCATTCTCCCTCTTTCCATCACCCCGCCCCATTCTCCCGCTTTCCATCACCCCGCCCCATTCTCCCGCTTTCCATCACCCAGCCCCATTCTCCCGCTTTCCATCACCCCGCCCCATTCTCCCGCTTTCTATCACCCCGCCCCATTCTCGCTCTTTCCATCACCCCGCCCCATTCTCCCGCATTCCTTCACCCGGCCCCATTTTCCCTCGTTCCATCACCCCGCTCCATTCTCCCGCTTTCCATCACCCCGCCCCATTCTCCCTCTTTCCACCACCCCGCCCCATTCTCCCTCTTTCCATCACCTCGTCCCGTTCTCCCGCTTTCCATCACCCCGCCCCATTCTCCCTCTTTCCATCACCCCGCCCCATTCTCCCGCTTTCCATCACCCCGCCCCATTCTCCCTCTTTCCATCACCCCGCTCCATTCTCCCGCTTTCCATCACCCCGCCCCATTCTCCCTCTTTCCATCACCCCGCCCCATTCTCCCGCTTTCCATCACCCCGCCCCATTCTCCCGCTTTCCATCACCCCGCCCAATTCTCCCGCTTTCCATCACCACGCCCCATTTTCCCTCTTTCCATCACCCCGCCCCATTCTCCCGCTTTCCATCACCCCGCCCCATTCTCCTGCTTTCCATCACCCCGCTCCATTCTCCCGCTTTCCATCATCCCCCCCAATTCTCCCTCTTTCTATCACCCCTCTCCATTCTCCCGCTTTCCATCACCCCGCCCCATTCTCCCTCTTTCCATCACCCCGCCCCATTCTCCCTCTTTCCATCACCCCGCCCCATTTTCCCGCTTTCCATCACCCCGCCCCATTCTCCCTCTTTCTATCACCCCGCCCCATTCTCCCGCTTTCCATCACCCCGCCCCATTCTCCCGCTTTCCATCACCCCGCTCCATTCTCCCGCTTTCCATCACCCTGCCCTATTCTCCCTCTTTCCATCACCCCTCCCCATTCTGCCTCTTTCCATCAACCCGCCCCATTCTCCCGCTTTCCATCACCCCGCCCCATTCTCCCTCTTTCCATCACCCCGCCCCATTCTCTCGCTTTCCATCACCCCGCCCCATTCTCCCTCTTTCCATCACCCCGCCCCATTCTCCCGCTTTCCATCACCCGCCCCATTCTCCCTCTATCCATCACCTCGCCCCATTGGTCACAGCTCCAAATGACTTGATTCAACTTGGATCTGGAGCGCCTTATTGTCGCCTACAATAGGCAATCTAGATCGCACGATTTGACCAAGTATTGACGACACAGGGTTGGTTTGAACGAACGGCACTATGGCAGCCACTATGGTCTTAGAACACAAGATAGGAAAGGTTAGGAAGAGTTACGAGTTGGGAATGACTCCCAGCTCCTACAAACCCCAAGAGCCGAGGTACAGTGATGTGGAACAGTGCCACACTGTCCCCAACCCCGAAGGGTCTCGAAACTACCCTTCACTAGGGCCTACACCAAGTGAAATGTTACACTACACAAAGTAATGTAACTATCTTCAATATCTTGAGGTGTACCCTTTTGGCGAGCTTTGAAATCACTTGTGGATTGACACCAAGGCTCGGCTCTTCATCACAAACTCATCCTTGAGTTCTTGATGGGTCTGCTGCACACACCTGCGACACACCGAACGTTCGACACAGGACAAAAGAGAAACCGCGCACGACAAAATAGAAACCGCGCGTGAGACACAAACGACCGCGTAACACGCGTCTAGCCATAACTCGCTATTGACTCGACACATACACTCGACATCATGACTCAACATTCACACACAACTATAAGCATTAAATATATATTATCCCATGCCCTCATACCATTCCATAGACACACACACAGGCACGCACACGGACAACAAGCCGAGTGCAAACCATAGGGTTGCACCAACAGCGGGGTGATGGAAAGCAGGAGAATGGGGCGGGATGATGGAAAGCGGGAGAATGGGGCGGGGTGATGGAAAGTGGGAGAATGAGGCTGGGTGATGGAAAGCGGGAGAATGGGGCGGGGTGATAGAAAGCGGGAGAATGGGGCGGGGTGATGGAAGGAGGGAGAATGGGGTGGGATGATGGAAAGCGGGAGATTGGGGCAGGGTGATGGAAAGCGGGAGAATGGGGCGGGGTGATGGAAAGAAGGAAAATGGGGCGGGGTGACAGAAAGCGGAAGAATGGGGCGGGTTGATGGAAGGAGGGAGAATGGGGCGGGGTGATGGAAGGAGAGAGAAGGGGGCGGGGTGATGGAAAGTGGGAAAATGTGGCGGAGTGATGGAAAGCGGGAGAATGGGGTGGGGTTATGGGAAGCGGGAGAATGGGGGGGGGTGATGGAAAGCGGGAGAATGGGGCAGGGTGATGGAATGAGGGAGAATGGGGCGGGGTGATGGAAGGAGGGAGAATGGGGCGGGGTGATGGAAAGCGGGAGAATGGGGCAGGGTGATGGAAGGAGGGAGAATGGGGCTGAGTGATGGAAAGCGGGAGAATGGGGCGCGGTGATGGAAAGAGAGAGAATGGAGCGGGGTGATGGAACGAGGGAGAATGGGGAGGGGTGATGGAAAGCGGGGGAATGGGGCGGGGTGATGGAAAGCAGGAGAATGGGGCGGGGTGATGGAAAGCGGGAGAATGGGGCGGGCTGGTGGAAAGCGGGAGAATGGGGCGGGGTGGTGGAAAGCGGGAGAATGGGGCGGAGTGATGGAAAGCGGGAGAATGGGGCGGGGTGATGGAAAGAGGGAGAATGGGGCGGGGTGATGGAAAGCGGGAGAATGGGGCGGGGTGATGGAAAGAGGGAGAATGGGGCGGGGTGATGGAAAGCGGGAGCATGGCGCGGGGTGGTGGAAAGCGGGAGAATGGGGCGGGGTGATGGAAAGCGGGAGAATGGGGCGGGTGATGGAAAGCGGGAGAATGGGACGAGGTGATGGAAAGCGGGAGAATTGGGCGGGGTGATGGATAGAGGGAGAATGGGGCGGAGTGATGGAAAGAGGGAGAATGGGGCGGGGTGATGGAAAGCGGGAGAATGGGGCAGGGTGATGGAAAGAGGGAGAATGAAGCGGGGTGATGGAAAGCGGGAGCATGGCGCGGGGTGGTGGAAAGCGGGAGAATGGGGCGGGGTGATGGAAAGCGGGAGAATGGGGCGGGTGATGGAAAGCGGGAGAATGGGACGAGGTGATGGAAAGCGGGAGAATTGGGCGGGGTGATGGATAGAGGGAGAATGGGGCGGAGTGATGGAAAGAGGGAGAATGGGGCGGGGTGATGGAAAGAGGGAGAATGGGCAGGGTGATGGAAAGCGGGAGAATGGGGCGGGTGATTGAAAGCGGGAGAATGGGGCGGGGTGATGGAAAGCAGGAGAATGGGGCGAGGTGATGGAAAGAGGGAGAATGGGGCGGGGTGATGGAAAGCGGGAGAATCGGGCGGGGTGATGGAAAGCGGGAGAATGGCGCGGGGTGATGGAAAGCGGGAGAATGGGGCGGGGTGATGGAAAGAGGGAGAATGGGGAGGGATGATGGAAAGAGGGAGAATTGGGCGGGTTGATGGAAAGCGGGAGAATGGAGCGGGGTGATGGAAAGCGGGAGAATGGGGCGGGGTGATGGAAAGCGGGAGAATGGGGCGGGGTGATGAAAAGAGAGAAAAAAGGGCGAGGTGATGGAAAGCGGGAGAATGGGGTGGTGTGATGGAAAGCGGGAGAATGGGGCGGGGTGATGGAAAGAGGGAGAATGGGGCGGGGTGATGGAAAGCGGGAGAATGGGGCGGGGTGATGGAAAGAGGGAGAATGGGGCGGGCTGATGGAAGGCGGGAGAATGGGGCGGGGTGATGCAAATCGGGAGAATGGGGTGGGGTGATGGAAAGCGGGAGAATGGGGCGGGGTGATGGAAAGAGGGAGAATGGGGCGGGGTGATGGAAAGCGAGAGAATGGGGCGGGTGATGGAAAGCGGGAGAATGGGGCGGGGTGATGGAAAGAGGGAGAATGGGGCGGGGTGATGGAAAGCGAGAGAATGGGGTGGGGTGATGGAAAGAGGGAGAATGGGGCGGGGTGATGGAAAGCAGGAGAACGGGGCGGGGTGATGGAAAGAGGGAGAATGGGGCGGGGTGATGGAAGGCGGGAGAATGGGGCGGGGTGATGCAAATCGAGAGAATGGGGTGGGGTGATGGAAAGCGGGAGAATGGGGCGGGGTGATGGAAAGCGGGAGAATGGGGCGAGGTGATGGAAGGCGGGAGAATGGGGCGGGGTGATGGATAAAGGGAGAATGGGGCGGGATGATGGAAAGCGGGAGAATGGGGCGGGTGATGGAAAGCGGGAGAATGGGGCGGGGTGATGGAAAGAGGGAGAATGGGGCGGGCTGATGGAAGGCGGGAGAATGGGGCGGGGTGATGCAAATCGGGAGAATGGGGTGGGGTGATGGAAAGCCGGAGAATGGGGCCGGGTGATGGAAAGAGGGAGAATGGGGCGGGGTGATGGAAAGCGGGAGAATGGGGCGGGTGATGGAAAGCGGGAGAATGGGGCGAGGTGATGGAAAGAGGGAGAATGGGGCGGGGTGATGGAAAGCGAGAGAATGGGGTGGGGTGATGGAAAGAGGGAGAATGGGCCGGGCTGATGGAAAGCGGGAGAATGGGGCGGTTTGATGGAAAGAGGGAGAATGGGGAGGGGTGATGGAAAGAGGGAGAATTGGGCGGGGTGATGGAAATCGGGAGAATGGAGCGGGGTGATGGAAAGCGGGCGGGGTGATGGAAAGCGGGAGAATGGGGCGGGGTGATAGAAAGAGGGAGAATGGGGCGGGGTGATGGAAAGCAGGAGAACGGGACGGGGTGATGGAAAGAGGGAGAATGGGGCGGGGTGATGGAAGGCGGGAGAATGGGGCGGGGTGATGCAAATCGAGAGAATGGGGTGGGGTGATGGAAAGCGGGAGAATGGGGCGGGGTGATGGAAAGCGGGAGAATGGGGCGGGGTGATGGATAGAGGGAGAATGGGGCGGGGTGATGGAGAGCCAGAGAATGGGGCCAGGTGATGGAAAGAGGGAGAATGGTGCGGGGTGATGGAAAGAGGGAGAATGGGGCGGGGTGATGGAAAGAGGGAGAATGGGGAGGGATGATGGAAAGAGGGAGAATTGGGCGGGGTGATGGATAGAGGGAGAATGGGGCGGGATGATGGAAAGCGGGAGAATGGGGCGGGTGATGGAAAGCGGGAGAATGGGGCGGGGTGATGGAAAGAGGGAGAATGGGGCGGGGTGATGGAAAGCGAGAGAATGGGGCGGGGTGATGGAAAGAGGGAGAATGGTGCGGGGTGATGGAAAGCGGGAGAATGGGGCGGGTTGATGGAAAGAGGGAGAATGGGGAGGGGTGATGGAAAGAGGGAGAATTGGGCGGGGTGATGGAAAGCGGGAGAATGGAGCGGGGTGATGGAAAGCGGGAGAATGGGGCGGGGTGATGGAAAGAGGGAGAACGGGGAGGGATGATGGAAAGAGGGAGAATTGGGCGGGTTGATGGAAAGCGGGAGAATGGAGCGGGGTGATGGAAAGCGGGAGAATGGGGCGGGGTGATGGAAAGCGGGAGAATGGGGCGGGGTGATGAAAAGAGAGAAAATAGGGCGAGGTGATGGAAAGCGGGAGAATGGGGTGGTGTGATGGAAAGCGGGAGAATGGGGCGGGGTGATGAAAAGAGGGAGAATGGGACGGGGTGATGGAAAGCGTAAGAATGGGGCGGGATGATGGAAAGAGGGAGAATGGGGCGGGGTGATGGAAGGCGGGAGAATGGGGCGGGGTGATGCAAATCGGGTGAATGGGGTGGGGTGATGGAAAGCGGGAGAATGGGGCGGGTGATGGAAAGCGGGAGAATGGGGCGGGGTGATGGAAAGAGGGAGAATGGGGCGGGCTGATGGAAGGCGGGAGAATGGGGTGGGGTGATGCAAATCGGGAGAATGGGGTGGGGTGATGGAAAGCCGGAGAATGGGGCCGGGTGATGGAAAGAGGGAGAATGGGGCGGGGTGATGGAAAGCGGGAGAATGGGGCGGGTGATGGAAAGCGGGAGAATGGGGCGAGGTGATGGAAAGAGGGAGAATGGGGCGGGGTGATGGAAAGCGAGAGAATGGGGTGGGGTGATTGAAAGCGGGAGAATGGGGCGGGGTGATGGAAAGCAGGAGAATGGGGCGAGGTGATGGAAAGAGGGAGAATGGGGCGGGGTGATGGAAAGCGGGAGAATCGGGCGGGGTGATGGAAAGCGGGAGAATGGCGCGGGGTGATGGAAAGCGGGAGAATGGGGCGGGGTGATGGAAAGAGGGAGAATGGAGAGGGATGATGGAAAGAGGGAGAATTGGGCGGGTTGATGGAAAGCGGGAGAATGGAGCGGGGTGATGGAAAGCGGGAGAATGGGGCGGGGTGATGGAAAGCGGGAGAATGGGGCGGGGTGATGAAAAGAGAGAAAAAAGGGCGAGGTGATGGAAAGCGGGAGAATGGGGTGGTGTGATGGAAAGCGGGAGAATGGGGCGGGGTGATGGAAAGAGGGAGAATGGGGCGGGGTGATGGAAAGCGGGAGAATGGGGCGGGGTGATGGAAAGAGGGAGAATGGGGCGGGCTGATGGAAGGCGGGAGAATGGGGCGGGGTGATGCAAATCGGGAGAATGGGGTGGGGTGATGGAAAGCGGGAGAATGGGGCGGGGTGATGGAAAGAGGGAGAATGGGGCGGGGTGATGGAAAGCGAGAGAATGGGGCGGGTGATGGAAAGCGGGAGAATGGGGCGGGGTGATGGAAAGAGGGAGAATGGGGCGGGGTGATGGAAAGCGAGAGAATGGGGTGGGGTGATGGAAAGAGGGAGAATGGGGCGGGGTGATGGAAAGCAGGAGAACGGGGCGGGGTGATGGAAAGAGGGAGAATGGGGCGGGGTGATGGAAGGCGGGAGAATGGGGCGGGGTGATGCAAATCGAGAGAATGGGGTGGGGTGATGGAAAGCGGGAGAATGGGGCGGGGTGATGGAAAGCGGGAGAATGGGGCGAGGTGATGGAAGGCGGGAGAATGGGGCGGGGTGATGGATAAAGGGAGAATGGGGCGGGATGATGGAAAGCGGGAGAATGGGGCGGGTGATGGAAAGCGGGAGAATGGGGCGGGGTGATGGAAAGAGGGAGAATGGGGCGGGCTGATGGAAGGCGGGAGAATGGGGCGGGGTGATGCAAATCGGGAGAATGGGGTGGGGTGATGGAAAGCCGGAGAATGGGGCCGGGTGATGGAAAGAGGGAGAATGGGGCGGGGTGATGGAAAGCGGGAGAATGGGGCGGGTGATGGAAAGCGGGAGAATGGGGCGAGGTGATGGAAAGAGGGAGAATGGGGCGGGGTGATGGAAAGCGAGAGAATGGGGTGGGGTGATGGAAAGAGGGAGAATGGGCCGGGCTGATGGAAAGCGGGAGAATGGGGCGGTTTGATGGAAAGAGGGAGAATGGGGAGGGGTGATGGAAAGAGGGAGAATTGGGCGGGGTGATGGAAATCGGGAGAATGGAGCGGGGTGATGGAAAGCGGGCGGGGTGATGGAAAGCGGGAGAATGGGGCGGGGTGATAGAAAGAGGGAGAATGGGGCGGGGTGATGGAAAGCAGGAGAACGGGGCGGGGTGATGGAAAGAGGGAGAATGGGGCGGGGTGATGGAAGGCGGGAGAATGGGGCGGGGTGATGCAAATCGAGAGAATGGGGTGGGGAGATGGAAAGCGGGAGAATGGGGCGGGGTGATGGAAAGCGGGAGAATGGGGCGGGGTGATGGATAGAGGGAGAATGGGGCGGGGTGATGGAAAGCGAGAGAATGGGGCCAGGTGATGGAAAGAGGGAGAATGGTGCGGGGTGATGGAAAGAGGGAGAATGGGGCGGGGTGATGGAAAGAGGGAGAATGGGGAGGGATGATGGAAAGAGGGAGAATTGGGCGGGGTGATGGATAGAGGGAGAATGGGGCGGGATGATGGAAAGCGGGAGAATGGGGCGAGTGATGGAGAGCGGGAGAATGGGGCGGGGTGATGGAAAGAGGGAGAATGGGACGGGGTGATGGAAAGCGAGAGAATGGGGCGGGGTGATGGAAAGAGGGAGAATGGTGCGGGGTGATGGAAAGCGGGAGAATGGGGCGGGTTGATGGAAAGAGGGAGAATGGGGAGGGGTGATGGAAAGAGGGAGAATTGGGCGGGGTGATGGAAAGAGGGAGAATGGAGCGGGGTGATGGAAAGCGGGAGAATGGGGCGGGGTGATGGAAAGAGGGAGAATGGGGAGGGATGATGGAAAGAGGGAGAATTGGGCGGGTTGATGGAAAGCGGGAGAATGGAGCGGGGTGATGGAAAGCGGGAGAATGGGGCGGGGTGATGGAAAGCGGGAGAATGGGGCGGGGTGATGAAAAGAGAGAAAATAGGGCGAGGTGATGGAAAGCGGGAGAATGGGGTGGTGTGATGGAAAGCGGGAGAATGGGGCGGGGTGATGAAAAGAGGGAGAATGGGACGGGGTGATGGAAAGCGTAAGAATGGGGCGGGATGATGGAAAGAGGGAGAATGGGGCGGGGTGATGGAAAGCGGGAGAATGGGGCGGGGTGATGCAAATCGGGTGAATGGGGTGGGGTGATGGAAAGAGGGAGAATGGGGCGGGTGATGGAAAGCGGGAGAATGGGGCGGGGTGATGGAAAGAGGGAGAATGGGGCGGGCTGATGGAAGGCGGGAGAATGGGGCGGGGTGATGCAAATCGGGAGAATGGGGTGGGGTGATGGAAAGCCGGAGAATGGGGCCGGGTGATGGAAAGAGGGAGAATGGGGCGGGGTGATGGAAAGCGGGAGAATGGGGCGGGTGATGGAAAGCGGGAGAATGGGGCGAGGTGATGGAAAGAGGGAGAATGGGGCGGGGTGATGGAAAGCGAGAGAATGGGGTGGGGTGATGGAAAGAGGGAGAATGGGCCGGGCTGATGGAAAGCGGGAGAATGGGGCGGTTTGATGGAAAGAGGGAGAATGGGGAGGGGTGATGGAAAGAGGGAGAATTGGGCGGGGTGATGGAAATCGGGAGAATGGAGCGGGGTGATGGAAAGCGGGCGGGGTGATGGAAAGCGGGAGAATGGGGCGGGGTGATAGAAAGAGGGAGAATGGGGCGGGGTGATGGAAAGCAGGAGAACGGGGCGGGGTGATGGAAAGAGGGAGAATGGGGCGGGGTGATGGAAGGCGGGAGAATGGGGCGGGGTGATGCAAATCGAGAGAATGGGGTGGGGTGATGGAAAGCGGGAGAATGGGGCGGGGTGATGGAAAGCGGGAGAATGGGGCGGGGTGATGGATAGAGGGAGAATGGGGCGGGGTGATGGAAAGCGAGAGAATGGGGCCAGGTGATGGAAAGAGGGAGAATGGTGCGGGGTGATGGAAAGAGGGAGAATGGGGCGGGGTGATGGAAAGAGGGAGAATGGGGCGGGGTGATGGAAAGCGAGAGAATGGGGCGGGGTGATGGAAAGAGGGAGAATGGTGCGGGGTGATGGAAAGCGGGAGAATGGGGCGGGTTGATGGAAAGAGGGAGAATGGGGAGGGGTGATGGAAAGAGGGAGAATTGGGCGGGGTGATGGAAAGCGGGAGAATGGAGCGGGGTGATGGAAAGCGGGAGAATGGTGCGGGGTGATGGAAAGAGGGAGAATGGGGAGGGATGATGGAAAGAGGGAGAATTGGGCGGGTTGATGGAAAGCGGGAGAATGGAGCGGGGTGATGGAAAGCGGGAGAATGGGGCGGGGTGATGGAAAGCGGGAGAATGGGGCGGGGTGATGAAAAGAGAGAAAATAGGGCGAGGTGATGGAAAGCGGGAGAATGGGGTGGTGTGATGGAAAGCGGGAGAATGGGGCGGGGTGATGAAAAGAGGGAGAATGGGACGGGGTGATGGAAAGCGTAAGAATGGGGCGGGATGATGGAAAGAGGGAGAATGGGGTGGGGTGATGGAAGGCGGGAGAATGGGGCGGGGTGATGCAAATCGGGTGAATGGGGTGGGGTGATGGAAAGCGGGAGAATGGGGCGGGGTGATGGAAAGAGGGAGAATGGGGCGGGGTGATGGAAAGCGGGAGAATGGGGCGGGTGATGGAAAGCGGGAGAATGGGGCGGGGTGATGGAAAGAGGGAGAATGGGCCGGGGTGATGGAAAGCGAGAGAATGGGGCGGGGTGATGGAAAGAGGGAGAATGGTGCGGGGCGATGGAAAGCGGGAGAATGAGGCGGGTTGATGGAAAGAGGGAGAATGGGGAGGGGTGATGGAAAGAGGGAGAATTGGGCGGGGTGATGGAAAGCGGCAGAATGGAGCGGGGTGATGGAAAGCGGGAGAATGGGGCGGGGTGATGGAAAGAGGGAGAATGGGGAGGGATGATGGAAAGAGGGAGAATTGGGCGGGTTGATGGAGAGCGGGAGAATGGAGCGGGGTGATGGAAAGCGGGAGAATGGGGCGGGGTGATGGAAAGCGGGAGAATGGGGCGGGGTGATGAAAAGAGAGAAAATAGGGCGAGGTGATGGAAAGCGGGAGAATGGGGCGGGGTGATGGAAAGCGGGGGAATGGGGCGGGGTGATGAAAAGAGGGAGAATGGGACGGGGTGATGGAAAGCGGGAGAATGGGGCGGGATGATGGAAAGAGGGAGAACGGGGCGGGGTGATGGAAGGCGGGAAAATGGGGCGGGGTGATGCAAATCGGGTGAATGGGGTCGGGTGATGGAAAGCGCGAGAATGGGGCGGGGTGATGGAAAGAGGGAGAATGGGGCGGGGTGATGGAAAGCGGGAGAATAGGGCGGGTGATGGAAAGCGGGAGAATGGGGCGGGGTGATGGAAAGAGGGAGAATGGGGCGGGGTGATGGAAAGCGAGAGAATGGGGCGGGGTGATGGAAAGAGGGAGAATGGGCCGGGGTGATGGAAAGCGGGAGAATGGGGCGGTTTGATGGAAAGAGGGAGAATGGGGAGGGGTGATGGAAAGATGGAGAATTGGGCGGGGTGATGGAAATCGGGAGAATGGAGCGGGGCGATGGAAAGCGGGCGGGGTGATGGAAAGCAGGAGAATGGGGTGGGGTGATAGAAAGAGGGAGAATGGTGCGGGGTGATGGAAAGCGGGAGAATGGGGCGGGTTGATGGAAAGAGGGAGAATGGGGAGGGGTGATGGAAAGAGGGAGAATTGGGCGGGGTGATGGAAAGCGGGAGAATGGAGCGGGGTGATGGAAAGCGGGAGAATGGGGCGGGGTGATGGAATGCGGGAGAATGGGGCGGGGTGATAGAAAGAGGGAGAATGGGGCGGGGTGATGGAAAGCGGGAAAATGGGGCGGGGTGATGGAAAGAGGGAGAATGGGGCGGGGTGATGGAAAGAGGGAGAATGGGGCGGGGTGATGGAAAGCGGGAGAATGGGGCGGGGTGATGGAAAGAGGGAGAATAGAGAGGGGTGATAGAAAGAGGGAGAATTGGGCGGGGTGATGGAAAGCGGGAGAATGGAGCGGGGTGATGGAAAGCGGGAGAATGGGGCGGGATGATGGAAAGCGGGAGAATGGGGCGGGGTGATGGAAAGAGGGAAAATGGGGCGTGGTGATGGAAAGCGGGAGAATTGGGCGGGGTGATGGAAAGCGGGAGAATGGAGCGGGGTGGTGGAAAGCGGGAGAATGGGGCAGGGTGATGGAAAGAGGGAGAATGGGGCGGGGTGATGGAAAGAGGGAGAATGGGGCGGGGTGATGGAAAGAGTGAGAATGGGGCAGGGTGATGGAAAGCGGGAGAATGGGCCGGGGTGATGGAAAGCGGGAGAATGGGGCGGGGTGATGGAAATCGGAAGAATGGGGCGGGGTGATGGAAAGCGGGAGAATGGGGCGGGGTGATGGAAAACGGGAGAATAAGGCGGGGTGATGGAAAGCGAGAGAATGGGGTGGGGTGATAGATAGAGGGAGAATGGGGCGGGGTGATGGAAAGTGGGAGAGTGGGGCGGGGTGATAGAAAGAGGGAGATTGGGGCGGGGTGATGGAAAGCGTGAGAATGGGGCGGGGTGATGGAAAGAGGGAGAATGGGGCGAGGTGATGGAAGGCGGGAGAATGGGGCGGGGTGATGGAAAGCGGGAGAATTGGGCGGGGTGATGGAAAGCGGGAGAATGGGGCGGGGTGATGAAAGAGGGAGAATCGGGCGGGGTGATGGAAAGCGGGAGAATGGGGCGCGGTGATGGAAAGAGGGAGAATGGGGAGGGGTGATGGAAAGCGGGAGAACGGGGCGGGTTGATGGAAAGCGGGGAGAATTGGGCGGGGTGATGGAAAGCGAGAGGAATGGGGCGGGGTGATGAAAGGCGGGAGAACGGGGCGAGGTGATGGAAAGAGGGAGAATGGGGCGGGGTGATGGAAAGAGGGAGAATGGGGCGAGGTGATGGAAACAGGGAGAATGGGGCGGGGTGACGGAAGGAGGGAGAGTTGGACGGGGTGATGGAAAGAGGGAGAATGGGGCGGGGAGATGGAAAGAGGGAGAATGGAGAGGGGTGATGGAAAGCGGGAGAATTGGGCGGGGTGATGGAAAGCGGAGAATGGAGCAGGGTGATGGAAAGTGGGAGAATCGGGTGGGGTTATAGAAAGCGGGAGAATGGGGCGGGGTGATGGAAAGAGGGAGAACGGGGCGGGGTGATGGAAAGCAGGAAAATGGGGCGGGGTAATGGAAAGAGGGAGAATGGGGCGGGGTGATGGAAATCGGGAGAATGGGGCGTGATGATGGAAAGAGGGAGAATGGGGAGGGGTGATGGAAAGAGGGAGAATTGGGCGGGGTGATGGAAAGCGGGAGAATGGGGCGGGGTGATGGAAAGCGGGAGAATGGGGCGGGGTGATGGAAAGCGGGAGAATGGGGCGGGGTGATGGAAAGCGGGAGAACGGGGCGGGGTGATGGAAAGAGGGAGAATGGGGCGGGGTGATGGAAAGCGGGAGAATGGGGCGGGGTGATGGAAAGCGGGAGAATGGGGCGGGGTGATGGAAAGAGGGAGAATGGGGCGGGGTGATGGAAAGCGGGAGAATGGGTCGGGGTGATGGAAAGAGGGAGAATGGGGCGGGGTGATGGAAAGAGGGAGAATGGGGCAAGATGACGGAAATCAGGAGAATGGGGCGGGGTGATGGAAAGAGGGAGAATGGGGCGAGGTGACGGAAATCGGGAGAATGGGGCGGGGTGATGGCAAGAGGGAGAATGGGGCGGGGTGATGGAAAGAGGGAGAATGGGGCAGGGTGATGGAAAGAGGGAGAATGGGGCGGGGAGATGGAAAGAGGGAGAATGGGGCGGGGTGATGGAAAGAGGGAGAATGGGGCGGGGTGACGGAAATCGGGAGAATGGGGCGGGGTGATGGAAAGAGGGAGAATGGGGCGGGGTGACGGAAATTGGGAGAATGGGGCGGGGTGATGGAAAGAGGGAGAATGGGGCGGGGTGATGGAAAGCGGGAGAATGGGGCGGGGTGATGGAAAGCGGGAGAATGGGGCGGGGTGATGGAAAGAGGGAGAATGGGGCAGGGTGATGGAAAGCGGGAGAATGGGGCGGGGTGATGGAAAGCGGGAGAATGGGGCGGGGTGATGGAAAGAGGGAGAATGGGGCGGGGTGATGGAAAGAGGGAGAATGGGTCGGGGTGATGGAAAGAGGGAGAATGGGGCGGGGTGATGGAAAGAGGGAGAATGGGGCAGGGATGACGGAAATCGGGAGAATGGGGCGGGGTGATGGAAAGAGGGAGAATGGGGCGGGGAGATGGAAAGAGGAAGAATGGGGTGGGGTGATGGAAAGAGGGAGAATGGGGCGGGGAGATGGAAAGAGGAAGAATGGGGCGGGGTGATGGAAAGCGGGCGAATAGGGCGGGGTGATGGAAAGAGGGAGAATGGGACGGGGTGATGGAAAGCGGGAGAAAGGGGTGGGGTGATGGAAAGCGGGAGAATGGAGCGGGGTGATGGAAAGAGGGAGAATGGGGCCGGGTGATGGAAAGAGGGAGAATGGGGCGGGGTGATGGAAAGCGGGAGAATGGGGCGGGGAGATGGAAAGAGGGAGAATGGGGAGGGGTGATGGAAAGAGGGAGAATTGGGCGGGGTGATGGAAAGCGGGAGAATGGAGCGGGGTGATGGAAAGAGTGAAAATGGGGCAGGGTGATGGAAAGCGGGAGAATGGGGCGGGGTGATGGAAAAAGGGAAGCGGAAGAATGGGGCGCGGTGATGGAAAGCGGGAGAATGGGGCGGGGTGATGGAAAGCGGGAGAATGGGGCGGGGAGATGGAAAGCGGGAGAAAGGGGAGGGGTGATGGTAAGCGGGAGAATGGGGCGGGCTGATGGAAAGCGGGAGAATGGGGCAGGGTGATGGAAGGAGGGAGAATGGGGCGGGGTGATGGAAGGAGAGAGAATGGGGCGGGCTGATGGAAAGTGGGAGAATGTGGCGGGGTGATGAAAAGCGGGAGAATGGGGTGGGGTTATGGGAAGCGGGAGAATGAGGCGGGGTGATGGAAAGAGGAAGAATGGGGCGGGGTGATGGAAAGCGGGCGAATGGGGCGGGGTGATGGAAAGAGGGAGAATGGGACGGGGTGATGGAAAGCGGGAGAAAGGGGCGGGGTGATGGAAAGCGGGAGAATGGGGCGGGGTGATGGAAAGAGGGAGAATGGGGCCGGGTGATGGAAAGAGGAAGAATGGGGCGGGGTGATGGAAAGAGGGAGAATGGGGCGGGGTGACGGAAATCGGGAGAATGGGGCGGGGTGATGGAAAGAGGGAGAATGGGGCGGGGTGACGGAAATCGGGAGAATGGGGCGGGGTGATGGAAAGAGGGAGAATGGGGCGGGGAGATGGAAAGAGGAAGAATGGGGCGGGTTGATGGAAAGCGGGCGAATGGGGCGGGGTGATGGAAAGAGGGAGAATGGGACGGGGTGATGGAAAGCGGGAGAATGGGGTGGGGTGATGGAAAGCGGGAGAATGGAGCGGGGTGATGGAAAGAGGGAGAATGGGGCCGGGTGATGGAAAGAGGGAGAATGGGGCGGGGTGATGGAAAGCGGGAGAATGGGGCGGGGAGATGGAAAGAGGGAGAATGGGGAGGGGTGATGGAAAGAGGGAGAATTGGGCGGGGTGATGGAAAGCGGGAGAATGGAGCGGGGTGATGGAAAGAGTGAAAATGGGGCAGGGTGATGGAAAGCGGGAGAATGGGGCGGGGTGATGGAAAAAGGGAAGCGGAAGAATGGGGCGCGGTGATGGAAAGCGGGAGAATGGGGCGGGGTGATGGAAAGCGGGAGAATGGGGCGGGGAGATGGAAAGCGGGAGAAAGGGGAGGGGTGATGGTAAGCGGGAGAATGGGGCAGGCTGATGGAAAGCGGGAGAATGGGGCAGGGTGATGGAAGGAGGGAGAATGGGGCGGGGTGATGGAAGGAGAGAGAATGGGGCGGGCTGATGGAAAGTGGGAGAATGTGGCGGGGTGATGAAAAGCGGGAGAATGGGGTGGGGTTATGGGAAGCGGGAGAATGAGGCGGGGTGATGGAAAGCGGGAGAATGGGGCGGGGTGATGGAAGGAGGGAGAATGGGGCGGGGTGATGGAAGAAGGGATAATGGGGCAGAGTGATGGAAAGCGGGAGAATGGGGCGGGGTGATGGACAGCGGGAGAATGGGGCGGGGTGATGGAAAGCGAGAGAATGGGGCGGGGTGATGGAAGGAGGGAGCATGGGGAGGGGTGATGGAAAGCGGGGGAATGGGGCGGGATGATGGGAAGCGGAAGAATAGGGCGGGGTGATGGAAGGAGGGAGAATGGGGCGGGATGATGGAAAGCGGGAGAATGGGGCGGGGTGATGGAAAGCGAGAGAATGGGGCGGGGTGATGGAAATCGGGAGAATGGGGCGGGGTGATGGAAAGCGGGAGAATGGGGCGGGGTGATGGAAAGCGAGAGAATGGGGCGGGGTGATGGAAATCGGGAGAATGGGGCGGGGTGATGGAAGGAGGGAGAATGGGGCGGGGTGATAGAAAGCGGGAGAATTTGACGGGGTGATGGAAAGCGAGAGAATGGGGTGGGGTTATGGAAAGCGGGAAAATGGGGCGGGGTGATGGAAGGAGGGAGAATGGGGCGGAGTGATGGAAGGAGGGAGAATGGGGCGGGGTGATGGAAGGAGGGAGAATGGGGCAGGGTGATGGAAGGAGGGAGAATGGGGCTGCGTGATGGAAAGCGGGAGAATGGGGCGGGGTGATGGAAGGAGGGAGAATGGGGCGGGGTGATGGAAGGAGGGAGTATGGGGTGGGGTGATGGAAAGCGGGAGAATGGGGCGGGGTGATGGAAAGCGGGAGAATGGGGCTGGGTGATGGAAAGCGGGATAATGGGGCGGGGTGATGGAAAGCGGGAGAATGGGGCGGGGTGATGGAAGGAGGGAGAATGGGGCGGGGTGATGGAAAGCGGGAAAATGGGGCGGGGTGATGGAAAGCGGGAGAATGGGGCTGGGTGATGGAAAGCGGGAGAATGGGGCGGGTGATGGAAAGCGGGCGAATGGGGCGGGGTGATGGAAGGAGGGAGAATGAGGTGGGGTGATGGAAGAAGGGAGAATGGGGCGGGGTGATGGAAAGTGGGAGAATGGGTCGGGGTGATGGAAAGCGGGAGAATGGGGCGGAGTGATGGAAAGCGGGAGAATGGGGCGGGGTGATGGAAAGCGGGAGAATGGGGCGGGATGATGGAAGGCGGGAGAATGGGGCTAAGTGATGGAAAGCGGGACAATGGGGCGGGGTGATGGAAAGCGGGAGAATGGGGCGGGTTGATGGAAGGAGGGAGAATGGGGCGGGGTGATAGAAAGCGGGAGAATTTGACGGGGTGATGGAAAGCGAGAGAATGGGGTGGGGTTATGGAAAGCGGGAAAATGGGGCGGGGTGATGGAGGGAGGGAGAATGGGGCGGAGTGATGGAAGGAGGGAGAATGGGGCGGGGTGATGGAAGGAGGGAGAATGGGGCAGGGTGATGGAAGGAGGGAGAATGGGGCTGGGTGATGGAAAGCGGGAGAATGGGGCGGGGTGATGGAAGGAGGGAGAATGGGGCGGGGTGATGGAAGGAGGGAGAATGGGGCTGGGTGATGGAAAGCGGGATAATGGGGCGGGATGATGGAAAGCGGGAGAATGGGGCGGGGTGATGGAAGGAGGGAGAATGGGGCGGGGTGATGGAAAGCGGGAAAATGGGGCGGGGTGATGGAAAGCGGGAGAATGGGGCTGGGTGATGGAAAGCGGGAGAATGGGGCGGGTGATGGAAAGCGGGCGAATGGGGCGGGGTGATGGAAGGAGGGAGAATGAGGCGGGGTGATGGAAGGAGGGAGAATGGGGCGGGGTGATGGAAAGTGGGAGAATGGGTCGGGGTGATGGAAAGCGGGAGAATGGGGCGGAGTGATGGAAAGCGGGAGAATGGGGCGGGGTGATGGAAAGCGGGAGAATGGGGCGGGATGATGGAAGGCGGGAGAATGGGGCTAAGTGATGGAAAGCGGGACAATGGGGCGGGGTGATGGAAAGCGGGAGAATGGGGCGGGTTGATGGAAGGAGGGAGAATGGGGCGGGGTGATAGAAAGCGGGAGAATTTGACGGGGTGATGGAAAGCGAGAGAATGGGGTGGGGTTATGGAAAGCGGGAAAATGGGGCGGGGTGATGGAGGGAGGGAGAATGGGGCGGAGTGATGGAAGGAGGGAGAATGGGGCGGGGTGATGGAAGGAGGGAGAATGGGGCAGGGTGATGGAAGGAGGGAGAATGGGGCTGGGTGATGGAAAGCGGGAGAATGGGGCGGGGTGATGGAAGGAGGGAGAATGGGGCGGGGTGATGGAAGGAGGGAGAATGGGGTGGGGTGATGGAAAGCGGGAGAATGGGGCGGGGTGATGGAAAGCGGGAGAATGGGGCTGGGTGATGGAAAGCGGGATAATGGGGCGGGGTGATGGAAAGCGGGAGAATGGTGCGGGGTGATGGAAGGAGGGAGAATGGGGCGGGGTGATGGAAAGCGGGAAAATGGGGTGGGGTGATGGAAAGCGGGAGAATGGGGCTGGGTGATGGAAAGCGGGAGAATGGGGCGGGTGATGGAAAGCGGGCGAATGGGGCGGGGTGATGGAAGGAGGGAGAATGAGGCGGGGTGATGGAAGGAGGGAGAATGGGGCGGGGTGATGGAAAGTGGGAGAATGGGTCGGGGTGATGGAAAGCGGGAGAATGGGGCGGAGTGATGGAAAGCGGGAGAATGGGGCGGGGTGATGGAAAGCGGGAGAATGGGGCTGGATGATGGAAGGCGGGAGAATGGGGCTAAGTGATGGAAAGCGGGACAATGGGGCGGGGTGATGGAAAGCGGGAGAATGGGGCGGGGTGATGGAAAGCGAGAGAATGGGGCGGGGTGATGGAAGGAGGGAGAATGGGGAGGGGTGATGGAAAGCGGGAGAATGGGGCGGGATGATGGGACGCGGAAGAATGGGGCGGGGTGATGGAAAGCGGGAGAATGGGGCGGGGTGATGGGAAGCGGGAGAATGGGGCGGGGAGATGGAAAGCGGGAGAAAGGGGAGGGGTGATGGAAAACGGGAGAATGGGGCGGGCTGATGAAAAGCGGGAGAATGGGGCGGGGTGATGGAAGGGGAGAGAATGGGGTGGGGTGATGGAAGGAGAGAGAAGGGGGCGGGGTGATGGAAAGTGGGAGAATGTGGCGGGGTGATGGAAAGCGGGAGAATGGGGTGGGGTGATGGGAAGCGGGAGAATGGAACGGGGTGATGGAAAGCGGGAGAATGGGGCGGGGTGATGGAAAAGGGAGAATAGGGCAGGGTGATGGAAAGCGGGAGAATGGGGCGGGGTGATGAAAAGAGGGAGAATGGGGCGGGGTGATGGAAAGCGGGAGAATGGGGCGGGGTAAAAAGAGGGAGAATGGGGAGGGGTGATGGAAAGAGGCAGAATTGGGCGGGGTGATGGAATGCGGGAGAATGGGGCGGGGTGATGGAAAGCAGGAGAATGGGGCGGGGTGATGGAAAGCGGGAGAATGAGGCGGGGTGATGGGAAGAGGGCGAATGGGCCGGGGTGATGGGATGCAGGGGAATGGGGCGAGGTGAAGGAAAGCGGAAGAATAGGGCGGGTTGATGGAAAGCGGGAGAATGGGGTGGGGTGATGGAAAGCGGGAGAATGGGGCGAGGTGATGGAAAGAGGGAGAATGGGGAGGGGTGATGGAAAGAGGGAGAATTGGGCGGGGTGATGGAATGCAAGAGAATGGAGCGGGGTGGTGGAAAGCGGGAGAATGGGGCGGGGTGATGGAAAAAGGGACAATGGGGCGGGGTGATGGAAAGCAGGAGAATGGCGCGGGGTGATGGAAAGCAGGAGAATGGGCGGGTTGATGGAAAGCGGGAGAATAGGGCGGGGTAATGGAAAGCGGGAGAATGGGGCGAGGTGATGGAAAGCGGGAGAATGGAGCGGGGTGAAAGAAAGCGGGAGAATGGGGCGGGGTGATGGAAAGCGGGAGAATGGGGCGGGGTGATGGAAAGAGGGAGAATAAGGCGGGGTGTTGGAAAGAGGGAGAATGGGGCGGGGTGATGAAAAGCGAGAGAAAGGGCCGGGATGATGGAAAGAGGGAGAATGGGGCGGGGTGATGGAAAGCGGGAGAATGGGGCGGGGTGATGGAAAGCGGGAGAATGGGGCAGGGTGATGGAAAGAGGTAGAATGGGGCGGGGTGATGGAAAGCAGGAGAATGGGGTGGGGTGATGGGGGAGAATGGGGCGCGGTGATGGAAAGCGAGAGAATGGGGCGGGGTGATGGAAAGCGGGAGAATGGGGCGGGGTGATGGGAAGAGGGAGAATGGGGCAGGGTGATGGGAAGCCAGGGAATGGGGCGGGGTGAAGGAAAGCGGGAGAATGGGGCGGGATGATAAAAAGCGGGAGAATGGGGTGGGGTGATCGAAAGCGGGAGAATGGGGTGGGGTGATGGGAAGAGGGAGAATGGGACGGGGTGATGGGAAGCGGGAGAATGGGGCGGGGTGAAGGAAAGAGGGAGAATGGGGCGGGGTGATAGAAAGCGGGAGAATGGGGCGGGTTGATGGAAAGCGGGAGAATGGAGCGGGGTGATAGAAAGCGGGAGAATGGGGCGGGGTGATGGAAAGCGGGAGAATGGGGCGGGGTGATGGAAAGCGGGAGAATGGGGCCCAATTCTCCCGCTTTCCATCACCCCGCCCTATTCTCCCTCCTTCCATCACCCCGCCCCATTCTCCCTCATTCCATCACCCCGCCCCATTCTCCCGCTTTCCATCACCCCGCCCCATTCTCCCGCTTCCCATAACCCCACCCCATTCTCCCGCTTTCCATCACCCCGCCAAATTTTCCCACTTTCCGTCACCCCGCCCCCTTCTCTCTCCTTCCATCACCCCGCCCCATTCTCCCTCCTTCCATCACCCCGCCCCATTCTTCTGCTTTCCATCAGCCCGCCCCATTCTCCCGCTTTCCATCACCCCGCCCCATTCTCCCTCCTTCCATCACCCCGCCCCATTCTCCCTCATTCCATCACCCCGCCCCATTCTCCCGCTTTCCATCACCCCGCCCCATTCTCCCGCTTCCCATAACCCCACCCCATTCTCCTGCTTTCCATCACCCCGCCAAATTTTCCCACTTTCCGTCACCCCGCCCCCTTCTCTCTCCTTCTATTACCCCGCCCCATTCTCCCTCCTTCCATCACCCCGCCCCATTCTCCTGCTTTCCATCAGCCCGCCCCATTCTCACGCTTTCCATCACCCTGCCCCATTCTCCCTCCTTCCATCACCCCGCCCCATTCTCCCTCATTCCATCACCCCGCCCCATTCTCCCGCTTTCCATCACCCCGCCCCATTCTCCCGCTTCCCATAACCCCACCCCATTCTCCCGCTTTCCATCACCCCGCCAAATTTTCCCACTTTCCATCACCCCTCCCCCTTCTCTCTCCTTCCATCACCCCGCCCCATTCTCCCTCCTTCCATCACCCCGCCCCATTCTCCTGCTTTCCATCAGCCCGCCCCATTCTCCCGCTTTCCATCACCCCGCCCCATTCTCCCTCCTTCCATCACCCGCCCCATTCTCCCTCATTCCATCACCCCGCCCCATTCTCCCGCTTTCCATCACCCCGCCCCATTCTCCCGCTTCCCATAACCCCACCCCATTCTCCCGCTTTCCATCACCCCGCCAAAATTTCCCACTTTCCGTCACCCCGCCCCCTTCTCTCTCCTTCCATCACCCCGCCCCATTCTCCCTCCTTCCATCACCCCGCCCCATTCTCCTGCTTTCCATCAGCCCGCCCCATTCTCCCGCTTTCCATCACCTCGCCCCATTCTCACGCTTTCCATCACCCCGCCCCATTCACCCGCTTTCCATCGCCCCGCCCCATTCTCCCGCTCTCCATCACCCCGCCCCATTCTCCCGCTTTCCATCACCTCGCCCCATTCTCACGCTCTCCATCACCCGACCCCATTCACCCGCTTTCCATCACCCCGCCCCATTCTCCCGCTTTCCATCTCCCCACCCCACTCCCGCTTTCCATCACCCCGCCCCATTCTCCCGCTTTCCATCACCCCGCCCCATTCTCCCGCTTTCCATCACTCCACCCCATTCTCCCGCTTTCCATCACCCCGCCCCATTCTCCCGCTTTCCATAACCCCGCCCCATTCTCCTGCTTTCCATCACCTCGCCATATTCTCCCACTTTCCATCACCCCGCCCCATTCTCCTGCTTTCCATCAGCCCGCCCCATTCTCACGCTTTCCATCACCCCGCCCCATTCTCCCTCCTTCCATCACCCCGCCTCATTCTCCCTCCTTCCATCACCCCGCCCCATTCTTCCGCTTTCCATCACCCCGCCCCATTCTCCCGCTTCCCATCACCCCGCCCCATTCTCCCGCTTTCCATCACCCCGCCCCATTCTCCCGCATTCCATCACCCCGCCCCATTCTCCCGCTTTCCATAACCCCGCCCCATTCTCCTGCTTTCCATCACCTCGCCATATTCTCCCACTTTCCATCACCCCGCCCCATTCTCCCTCCTTCCATCACCCGTCCCATTCTCCCTCCTTCCATCACCCCACCCCATTCTCCCTCCTTCCATCACCCCGCCCCATTCTCCCGCTTTCCATCACCACGCCTCATTCTCCCGCTTTCCATCACCCCGCCCCATACTCCCGCTTTCCATCACCCCGCCCCATTCTCCCGCTTTCCAGCACCCTGCCCCATTCTCCCGCTTTCCATCACCCCGCCCCAATCTCCCTCCTTCCATCACCCCGCCTCATTCTCCCGCTTTCCATGAGCCCGCCCCATTCTCCCTCCTTCCATCACCTCGGCCCATTCTCCTTCCTTCCATCACCCTGCCCCATTCTCCCGCTTTCCATCACCCCGCCCCATTTTCCCGTTTTCCATCACCCCGCCCCATTCTCCTGCTTTCCATCACCCCGCCCCATTCTCCTGCTTTCCACCACCCCGCCCCATTCTCCCGCTTTCCATCACCCCGCCCCATTCTCCTGCTTTCCACCACCCCGCCCCATTCTCCCGCTTTCCATCACCCCGCCCCATTCTCCCGCTTTCCATCACCCCACCCCATCCTCCCACCTTCTATCACCCCGCCCCATTCTCCCTCCTTCCATCACCTCGCCCCATTCTCCCGCTTTCCATCACTCCGCCCCATTCTCCTGCTTTCCATCACCCCGCCCCATTCTCCTGCTTTCCATCACCCCGCCCCATTCCCCCGATTTCCATCACCCCGCCCCATTCTCCCCCTTTCCATAACCCCGCCCCTTTTTCCCGCTTTCCATCACCCCGCCCCATTCTCCCGCTTTCCATCAGCCCGCCCCATTCTCCCGCTTTCCATCACCCCGCCCCATTCTCCCTCCTTCCATCACCCCGCCTCATTCTCCGCTTCCCATAACCCCAGCCCCATCTCCCGCTTTCCATCACCCCGCCACTTTCTCCCACTTCATCCCGCCCCATTCTCCCTCCTTCCATCACCCCGCCCCATTCTCCCTCCTTCCATGACCCCGCCCTATTCTCCCGCTTTCCATCAGCCCGCCCCATTCTCCCGCTTTCGATCAGCCCGCCCCATTCTCCCGCTTTCCTTCACCCCGCCCCATTCTCTCGCTTTCCATCAACCTGCCCCCTTCTCCCGCTTTCCATCACCCCGCCCCATTCTCCCGCTTTCCATCACCCCACCCCATTTTCCCATTTTCCATCACCTCGCCCCATTCTCCTTGCTTCCATCACCCCGCCCCAATCTCCCTCCTTCCATCACCCCGTCCCATTCTCCCGCTTTCTATCTCCCCGCCCCATTCTTCCGCTTCCCATCATCCAGCCCCATTCCCCAGCTTTCCATCACCCCTCCCGATTCTCCCTCCTTCCATCACCCCGCCCCATTCTCCCGCTTTCCATCACCCGCCCCATTCTCCTGCTTTCCATCACCTCGCCCCATTCTCCCGCTTTCCGTCACCCCGCCCCATTCTTCTGCTTTCCATCACCCCGCCCCATTCACCCGCTTTCCATCACCCGCCCCATCTCCCGCCTCATTCTCCCGCTCTCCATCACCCCGCCCCATTCTCCCGCTTTTCATCACCCCGCCCCATTCTCCCGCTTTCCAACACCCCTCCCCAGTCTCCCGCTTTCCATCACCCCGCCGCATTCTCCCGCTTTCCATCACCCCGCCCCATTGTCCCGCTTTCCATCACTCTGCCCCATTCTCCCGCTTTCCATCATCCCGCCCCATTCTCCCGCTTTCCATCACCCTGCCCCATTCTCCCTCCTTCCATCACCCTGGCTCATTCTCCCTCCTTCCATCACCCTGCCCCATTCTCCCGCTTTCCATCACCCCGCCCCATTTTCCCGCTTTCCATCACCCAGCCCCATTCTCCCGCTTTCCATCACCCCGCCCCATTTTCCTGCTATCCATCACCCCGCCCGATTCTCCCGCTTTCCATCACCCCGCCCCATTCTCCCGCTTTCCATCACCCCGCCCCATTCTCCCGCTTTCCATCACCCCGCCCCATTCTCCCTCCTTCCATCACACCACCCCATTCTCCCGCTTTCCATCACCCCGCCCCATTCTCCCTCCTTCCATCACCCCGCCCAATTCTCCCTCCTCCCATCACCCTGCCCCATTCTGCCCCATTCCCCAACACGGTGCGTTGAACACACGGTGGGTGGAACACATTGTGGGTTGAACACACAGTGGGTTGAACACACGGTGGGTTCAAAAACACGGTGGGTTCAACACATGGTGCGTTGAACACACGGTCGGTGGAACACACGGTGGGTTGAACACAAGGTGGGTTGAACACACGGTAGCTTGAACACACGGTGGGTTGAACACAAGGTGGGTTGAACACAAGGTGGGTTGAACAAACGGTGGGTTGAACACACGGTGCGTTGAACACCCGGTGGGGGGAACACACGGTGGGTTGAACACACGGTGGGTTGAACACATGATAAGTTGAACACACGGTGGGTTGAACACACGGTGGGTTGAACACACAGTGGGTTGAACACACGGTGGGTTGATCACATGGTGGGTGGAACACACGGTGGGTTGAACACACGGTGGGTTCAACTCACAGTGGGTTCAACACACGGTGGGTTGAACACACGGTGGGTGGAACACATGGTGCGTTGAACACACGGTGGGTGGAACACATGGTGGGTTGAACACACGGTGGGTGGAACACCTTGTGTTCAACCCACCTTATGTTCAACCCACCGTGTGTTCAACCCACCGTGTGTTCAACGCACCGTGTGTTCAACGCACCGTGTGTTCAACCCACCGTTTCTTCAACCCACCTTGTGTTCAACCCACCGTGTGTTCAACCTACCATGTGTTCAACCCACCTTGTGTTCAACCCACCGTGTGTTCCACCCTCCGTGTGTTCAACGCACCGTGTGTTGAACCCACCGTGTATTCAACCCACCGTGTGTTCCACCCACCGTGTGTTCAACGCATCGTGTGTTGAACCCACCGTGTGTTCAACCCGCCGTGTGTTCAACCCACCGTGTGTTCAACCCACCGTGTTATCAACCTATCGTGTGTTCATCCCACCGTGTGTTCCACCCACCTTCTGATCAACCCACCGTGTGTTCAACCCACCATGAGTTCAACCCACCGTGTGTTCCACCCACCGTGTGTTCAACGCACCGTGTGTTGAACCCACCGTGTGTTCAACCCACCGTGTGTTCAACCCACCGTGTGTTCAACCCACCGTTTGTTCAACCCACCGTATGTTGAACCCACCGTGTGTTCAACCCACCGTATGTTCAACCTACCGTGTGTTCAACCCACCTTGTGTTCAACCCACTGTGTGTTCCACCCACCGTGTGTTCAACCCACCGTGTGTTCAACCCACCATGTGTTCAACACACTTTGTGATCAGCCCACCGTATGTTCAACCCACCATGTGTTCAACCCACCGTGTGTTCCACCCACCGTGTGTTGAACGCACCGTGTGTTGAACCCACCATGTTTTGAACCCACCATGTGTTCAACCCACCGTGTGTTCAATGCACCGTGAGTTGAACCCATAGTGTGTTGAACCCACCGTGTGTTCAACCCACCGTGTGTTCAACCTATCCAGTGTTCAACCTACCGTGTGTTCAACCCACCGTGTGTTCAACGCACCGTGTGTTCAACCCACCGTGTGTTCAACCCACCATGTGTTCAACCGACCGTGTGTTCAACCCACCGTGTGTTCAACCCACCGTGTGTTCAACCCACCGTGTGTTCAACCCACCGTGTGATCAACCCACCGTGTGATCAACCCACTGTGTGATCAACCCATAGTGTGATCAACCCACCGTATGTTCAACCCACCGTGTGTTCAACCCACCGTGTGGTCAACCCACCGTGTGTTCAACCCACCGTGTGATCAACCCACCGTGTGATCAACCCACTGTGTGATCAACCCACCGTGTAATCAACCCACCGTATGTTCAACCCACCATGTGTTCAACCCACCGTGTGTTCCACCCACCGTGTGTTCAACCCACCATGTGATCAACCCACTGTGTGTTCAACCCACCGTGTGTTCCACCCACGTTGTGATCAACCCACCGTGTGTTCAACCCACCATGTGTTCAACCCACCGTGTGTTCCACCCACCGTGTGTTCAACACACCGTGTGTTCAACCCACCGTGTGCTCAGCCTATCGTGTGTTCAACCCACCGTGTGTTCAACCCACTGTGTGTTCAACCCACCGTGTGTTCAACCCACCGTATGTTCGACCCACCATGTGTTCAACCCACTGTGTGTTCCACCCACCGTGTGTTGACCCCACCGTGTGTTGAACCCACAGTGTGTTGAACCCACCGTGTGTTCAACCCATCGTGTGTTCAACGTATCCAGTGTTCAACCCACCGTGTGTTCAACCCACCGTGTGTTCAACGCACCGTGTGTTCAAGCGACCGTGTGTTCAACCCATCGTGTGTTCAACCCACCGTGTGTTCAACCTATCCAGTGTTCAACCTACCGTGTGTTCAACCCACCGTGTGTTCAACGCACCGTGTGTTCAACCCACCGTGTGTTCAACCCACCATGTGTTCAACCGACCGTGTGTTCAACCCACCGTGTGTTCAACCCACCGTGTGTTCAACCCACCGTGTGTTCAACCCACCGTGTGATCAACCCACCGTGTGATCAACCCACTGTGTGATCAACCCATAGTGTGATCAACCCACCGTATGTTCAACCCACCGTGTGTTCAACCCACCGTGTGGTCAACCCACCGTGTGTTCAACCCACCGTGTGATCAACCCACCGTGTGATCAACCCACTGTGTGATCAACCCACCGTGTAATCAACCCACCGTATGTTCAACCCACCATGTGTTCAACCCACCGTGTGTTCCACCCACCGTGTGTTCAACCCACCGTGTGTTCCACCCACGTTGTGATCAACCCACCGTGTGTTCAACCCACCATGTGTTCAACCCACCGTGTGTTCCACCCACCGTGTGTTCAACACACCGTGTGTTCAACCCACCGTGTGCTCAGCCTATCGTGTGTTCAACCCACCGTGTGTTCAACCCACTGTGTGTTCAACCCACCGTGTGTTCAACCCACCGTATGTTCGACCCACCATGTGTTCAACCCACTGTGTGTTCCACCCACCGTGTGTTGAACCCACCGTGTGTTGAACCCACAGTGTGTTGAACCCACCGTGTGTTCAACCCACTGTGTGTTCAACGTATCCAGTGTTCAACCCACCGTGTGTTCAACCCACCGTGTGTTCAACGCACCGTGTGTTCAACCCACCGTGTGTTCAACCCACCGTGTGTTCAACCCACCGTATGTTCGACCCACCATGTGTTCAACCCACTGTGTGTTCCACCCACCGTGTGTTGAACCCACCGTGTGTTGAACCCACAGTGTGTTGAACCCACCGTGTGTTCAACCCATCGTGTGTTCAACGTATCCAGTGTTCAACCCACCGTGTGTTCAACCCACCGTGTGTTCAACGCACCGTGTGTTCCACCCACGGTGTGATCAACCCACCGTGTGTTCAACCCACCATGTGTTCAACCCACCGTGTGTTCCACCCACCGTGTGTTCAACCCACCGTGTGATCAACCCACCGTGTGTTCAACCCACCGTGTGTTCCACCCACGGTGTGATCAACCCACCGTGTGTTCAACCCACCATGTGTTCAACCCACCGTGTGTTCCACCCACCGTGTGTTCAACACACCGTGTGTTCAACCCACCGTGTGTTCAACCCACCGTGTGTTCAACCCACCGTGTGTTCAACCTACCGTGTGTTCAACCCACTGTATGTTCAACCCACCATATGTTCAACCCACCGTGTGTTCCACCCACCGTGTGTTGAACCCACCATGTGTTGAACCCACCGTGTGTTGAACCCACCGTGTGTTCAACCCACCGTGTGTTCAACCTATCGTGTGTTCAACCCACCGTGTGTTCAACCCACCGTGTGTTCAACGCACCGTGTGTTCAACCCACCGTGTGTTCAACCCACCGTGTGTTCAACCCACCGTGTGTTCAACCCACCGTGTGTTCAACCCACCGTGTGTTCCACCCACCGTGTGATCAACTTACCGTGTGATCAACCCACCGTGTGATCAACCCACCGTATGTTCAACCGTCCATGTGTTCAACCCACCGTGTGTTCCACCCACCGTGTGTTCAACCCACCGTGTGATCAACCCACTGTGTGTTCAACCCACCGTGTGTTCCACCCACGGTGTGATCAACCCACCGTGTGTTCAACCCACCATGTGTTCAACCCACCGTGTGTTCCACCCACCGTGTGTTCAACCCACCGTGTGATCAACCCACCGTGTGTTCAACCCACCGTGTGTTCCACCCACGGTGTGATCAACCCACCGTGTGTTCAACCCACCATGTGTTCAACCCACCGTGTGTTCCACCCACCGTGTGTTCAACACACCGTGTGTTCAACCCACCGTGTGTTCAACCCACCGTGTGTTCAACCCACCGTGTGTTCAACCCACCGTGTGTTCAACCCACTGTATGTTCAACCCACCATATGTTCAACCCACCGTGTGTTCCACCCACCGTGTGTTGAACCCACCATGTGTTGAACCCACCGTGTGTTGAACCCACCGTGTGTTCAACCCACCGTGTGTTCAACCTATCGTGTGTTCAACCCACCGTGTGTTCAACCCACCGTGTGTTCAACGCACCGTGTGTTCAACCCACCGTGTGTTCAACCCACCGTGTGTTCAACCCACCGTGTGTTCAACCCACCGTGTGTTCAACCCACCGTGTGTTCCACCCACCGTGTGATCAACTTACCGTGTGATCAACCCACCGTGTGATCAACCCACCGTATGTTCAACCGTCCATGTGTTCAACCCACCGTGTGTTCCACCCACCGTGTGTTCAACCCACCGTGTGATCAACCCACCGTGTGTTCAACCCACCGTGTGTTCCACCCACGGTGTGATCAACCCACCGTGTGTTTAACCCACCGTGTGTTCAACCCACCGTGTGTTCAACCCACCGTGTGTTCAACGCACCGTGTGTTCAACCCACCGTGTGCTCAACCTATCGTCTGTTCAACCCACCGTGTATTCAACCCACCGTGTGTTCAACCCACCGTGTGTTCAACCCACCGTGTGTTCAACCCACCGTGTGTTCAACCCACCGTGTGTTGAACCCACCGTGTGTTGAACCCACCGTGTGTTGAACCCACCGT